CCAGAACCGAATCCATATCTTTTTCTTTCCCCTCAAACTGTCTCCTCTTCCTAATTTCCCTATTATAGTCAAGGGTTCCACCACCATCCCTGTCACCCAGACTCTCAAACCAGGGGTCACCCTTGACTCCTCACTCTTTCACTTTACACATCTAATCATTTGCCAAGTCCTGTCATTGCTACCTTCACAACATCTCTTGAATATGTCTGCTTTTCCTCTCTGGCACTACCACTGCTGGGTCAGGGCATCATCACCATGCTCCTAGATTATTACGATAAAATTGCTGGTTGGTCTCCCCATCCTTAGTTTCTGCCCACTTTAGTCTATCCTCCACTTAGCTGTCAAACTGATCTTCCCAAAGTACAAATCTGACCATGACACCCCGCAATACAATCAACTTCAGCAGCTATCATCTCCAGGATCAAATATAAAATCTTTTGGGGCAGCCAGGTGGCGCAGTGGATAGAGCACTGGCCCTGAAGTCAGGAGGACCTGAGTTCAAATCTGGCCTCAGACCAAACACTTGACACTTACTAGCTGTGTGACCCTGGGCAAGTCACTTAACCCAATTGCCCAAAAACAAAACATAAAATCTTCTGTTTGGCTTTTAAAGCCTTCCATAACCTGGCTCTTTCCTACCTTTCCAGTTTTCTTCACATTTTATATTCCTTCTCCATACGCTATAATCTACTGACACTGACTTCCTTCTTTTCCTCATAAAGGACATTCCACTCCAAACTCCAGCCACTTTCATTGGCTGACCCCATGCTTGTAAGGCTCTCCCTCCTCCTCTCTGCTTCTTAGCTTCCCTAGCTTTCTTCAAGTCTCAGCCTTTCCTGAGCCTCCTTAAAGCTAGTGTCTTCTTTCTAGTAATTACCTCACAATTTGTTTGTCTGTATCTAGTTTGTACACAGCAGTTGGCATGTTGTCTCTCCCATTAGACTGTGAGCTCCTTGAGAGCAGGGACTAGTCTTTTACCTATTTTCTATCTCTAGCACTTAGCACAGAACATGGCACTTAGTAGGTACTTTATAAATGCTTGTAGATTTGACAAACTTGAAGTTAGCTCTCCTGTTCTTCCTAGGTCTCTTCTCCCGGTTAAACATCTCCAGTTCCTTTAACAGATCCTCACAGGACATGAATTTGAGATACTTCACTTTCTTGGCTGTCTTCTCTGGACATGCTCCACTTAAATAAATGTCCTTCTTAAACTGTTATACCCCAAAATGAGCACAATACTCCAGGTACTGTCTGACTAGGGCAGAATCCAGAGAAACTATTGATCTCCTTCCTGGAAGCTCATACTCAAGGCATAAGAAAAAACAGAGTGGTGTAGTAGAAAGAGCAACGGGCTGAAACTGTGAGGATGCAGGCTCATCCTCGACCTCTCACTTATCAGCTTTGTAACACTCTTTGTTGGCCTCAGAGTCCTCATCTGGGAATGAAACAGTTGGACTAGATGGTCTGGGAGGTGTGGCGGAAAGAACCATAGTGCTGGCTCTAATGCTGGCTATGGCATGAACTTCCTCTGTGATTCTGGGCAGGTTGCTTCACCTGTTTGACCTAAGTGATACCAGTCCAGCACTCGTGAGCCTCACCAGACTGAAAGAGTCAAATGAAGCCTTAGCTATAAGGCTGTTTTGAAAAAGCTAACAATGACATGTTTACCATGAATTCCCCTATAAGCAGTGAGGCATAAATACATAGAAACCATCATTCCAAGGGCAGGATGAAAATGCTATCAGTTTCAAACAAAAGTCTAGAAGCTTCTGCATGTCATATCTACAATGTCTGTGGTGTTGCTGGAGTCCCTCTTGGTGCCCAGAGAGGACCCTTGGCCAAAGGCTAGGGGTGGGGGACCCCTTTAAGGACAACCTGCCCTCCAGGCCTGAGGTGTCTCCCTTCACTGTGTTTCTCATCTGAACTGAGCTAATTCTACATTAGGCTTGGCCGTTGACAATCTTCTCCAGCTCTGTCAGATCTAGGCCAATGAGTAGAGCTCCTTCTGGCCAAGAGCGCCACCTATGGCTGGGCCTGCTGTAGATGCAGGCTCAACACTGCATTTTTTTTTTTGTAAACAGTTTTCTTTCCCGAGTAATCACATTTCTGCTTTATATCTGTATTCGACAGTGACCTCTGGGGGAGAAAAAGGAGGCAGCAGCTGGCTTCAAGAATTGCTCTGCAGCAAATTCCAGTGCTTTCAGAAGCACTTTTGTTCCCATGTTAGAACTAGGGCCTTCCACATCAGGGAATACTCACTGAAGAGCAGAGTTTGTTTTCCTAAAAGCAATTTCTGTGTTGTCTGGAATTGCTAAATTCCACTTCAAGCATAGGCTCCTGTTAATGATGAGAATAATAACAGGAATAAACTGCCTTTTATCTGAGGACTTCAAAGTGCTTTATAAACACAAGCTCCTTATTATTATGACTTTATATTTCTAGACAGGGCTAACCACTGGGGCCACTGGCTGCATGTGCAGCAATAACCCTGAAATTAATTCATCAATCTCCTTATGTCCCAGTGAGGCAGGTAACTGGCCACACTTGGCCTGCTGAGGTAAAGGCAGGGAGGAGAGCGGGATCAGGCAGTGTAAGGAGATGAGAGGGCCACGGCATGGAGAGCAGCTTGGGATCCTATCCCTGACCAGAGGCATATGCCCTTCCTGTGAGACATGTGAATGAAGATATAGCAAAAGGACACCACATAACCTATATTTACAGGGTGGGGAACTTGGGGTCTCGTGGCCACATGTGGCCTCTAGGTCCTCAAGTACAGCTCTCTGACTAAATCTAAACTTCACAGAACAAATACTTTTATTAAGAGGCCACATTCTTTAAAAATATTATCTTACATAATTTCATTTTATTAAAGGTATTAAAATTAACAAAAAGTAGTTGATATTAATAGTACATGTTTATATTCTATTATAAAGGCCACAGGTTCCCCACCCTGGTAACTAGACTATCCTCTCTTCTCGAATCCCCTGCCTCTTTGTGCTAGCAATGATCACATCCTTGCCACAGTCTAATCCTGAACTACTTCCATCAGCTTCCTCTGGTAGTTGCACTCAGCGGGTGCTAACAGAGCAGGAAGAAGTCACAAAAATCCTTAAGAAACCCTCCGAAGGTTCTGTCATCCTCTATCTCTCCTCCCCTTCTCAGTTAAACCCCTGGAAAAATCCATCTACACTCAGCACTTCCATTTTCTCTCCCCTCACTCCCTTCTAAGCCTCTACAGTCTGGCTTCTGACCTCATCACTCGACTGAAACTGCTCTCTCCGAAGTTACTGAAGATTCCTTAACTACAAGATCTCTCTGCCCTCATCCTCCTTGACCTCTCGGCAGTATCTGGCACTATGGGCCACATTTTCTTCCTGACTACTTTCTCTCTTCTAGTTTTTCCTGTTCTCTGTTGAACTTCTCCCTGTCTGAAAACTCATTCTCAGTCTCTTTTGCGGGACCTTCATCCACACTGTGCCCACTGACCTCCACGGGTTCTGTTTGGGGTCCCCTTTATTCCCCCCTTTTCTTCCTCTTTGTTATCTTGATGGGTGACCTCACCAGTGCCCATGGGTTCAGTGATCATCTCTGGTCAATCGATACATCTAGCCCTGCATCAACAAATGCCTCCTGGATACTCTGAACTGGACTGCTGTGGGCACCTCAAACTCAACATGTCTAAGGTAGAAACCTCTCCCACAGTCACCCAACTATAGAACACTGTGTCATCCTCAGTTCCTCACTCACCTCATATATCTAGTCACTGGCCAAATCTGTTCATTTTCACCTTCACAATCTTGTTAATATACATACCCTTTTCTCTGCTCACTGCTACAACTTGAGTTCAGGCCCTTTTCACTTCTTGCCTAGGCTCATGGCAATAGCTTTGTAAATGGAGTCCATGCCTCCAATCTCTTCCCATTCCACCCTACCTTCCGCAGCTGTGCCAACGTGATTTTCCTAAAGCACCAGTCTGACTGTGTAACCTCCCCACTACCCATTCAATAACCTCCAGTGGCTCCTATTGCCTCCAGAATCACACTTAAAGCTCCTCTTGATCTGGCCCCCTTAGATTCTTCCGGCCTTCTTACACCTTACTCCCCTCTGTGCCCTCTATGGACTGGCCACATGGGGCTGTTTGCTGAGACCCCGTCTCTTGTCGCTGTGCCCTGGCACTTTCCCTGTTCCTGTGCTCAGAATGCTCTCCTTCCTCACCTCTTTGGTTCCTTCCAGACTCTGCTTAAATCTCACCTTTTGCAGGCCTTTCCCAGTCTATCCCTGCCTAAGCTTTCCCTTACAAAGTTATCTTTCACTTACTCTGCATATATCTTGTATATACCAATTTATGTACACTCCGTCTCTTCCATTAGAATATAAGCTCCCTGAAGGCAAAGACTCTCTTAGCCTTTAGTCCTTGTCAAGGACAACTGACTAACAAGAGATGTGCCCAATGAAGTGGCTCCTCAGTTTTGAGGGGAACCAGGTTCACCACTCTCCAGACCAACACTGATCAGACTTGTCATAAATTACTGCTACCAATAGCTGTGTCATCCTGGAATCATAGAAGAAGCCAAAACTATGGCTATACATAGCACCAAAAGTCTAGGGATGACAAAGCCAGCAGTCGAGCAACCCTGTCCTGGAAACCGATTTATTGGCTTTGTTACAGTTTCAAGACTATGAAGGGGTTTGGGTTTGTCAAATCAAAGGATCCAGATTTAGAGGTGGAGGTGGCCCTGCAGGCTGAAAAGTCCAATTCCCTCGTTTTACAGAAGATGAGAGAGACCCAGGACAGTGAAATGGCAGCACCATGGCTTGGACTCAGGCCCTCTGACTAAATCCTGTGTCCTTTCAATCCTTTATCACGCTCCCTCCAGGAAGATTTCAGTCCTCCTTCCTCCCTGGCAGAAACCCCAACTGAAGGCAGTGGCTGCTCATTAAGGCCACACAACCATGCTCGTCAGCCTACCTGCCTGCCCCCCACTCATCATGTGACTTACTTTTTATTAGCGGTCCGGACAATAACGCAGCGCTCACTCTGGTCCACAGAGACACTGTAGACATCCTTAGGGTAGGGAAGATTACGAATCCGCCACTGAAAGCTCATTTTTGTGTCCTTCCGCATGAAGATAGGCTGGAGAGAGCAATCCAATTCATGACGTATTCCAAACATGGGGAGAGAAAATTACATCTCCAAACCTCCCCACTTCTTATACCCCTGGGGAGATGCCCTTCACCCAACCTTTTCTGCCCCTGATATTACTGTTGACAAAAAATTATAATCCAAAGCCTCTGTCCCAGAATAACAAACTACCCAGCTCTGACAGGAATACCTTTATCTTGGCCTATTAAAAACCTGGCCAGAGAGACGTACATTAGAACTGCTTTCTTTGATGAGCTCTGACCCCAAGACTCCACCCGAAGAAATTGTTGGCTCTCCCACTTCTGTTTGCCATGGGCTCACGGCTCCCAGAGCATTCTTTACCCGCCATTTTCTAACTGGAAAGAAAAGAAAGCAAATGAGTCATCAGAAAAGGGTCCTATCCTCAACCTAAGAGTGAACTTCAAAAGCGATAACTCTGGTGCTGAAGGAATCTAGAAGTAGAAGGTTAACCTTTATAATTAACCATTACTAACCCTACAGAAAGCCCTCAACGTAAGAAAATTTCACTTTAGGGAATCAAACTTTGCTTTGTAGGAAAGGCAGTCACCCTCAGGCCCTTACCTAGATTAGCATGTGTAAACAGATCAAGAATAGTGGATACACTGCTTCTCAGAAGACAAGTGACAACAACAACTCACACAACGGCTGACAGCAGGTAATGGAAGAGATATGAGGACTACAAAAGCAGTCTGGAGCCAACTACTGTCAGACCAGCTCTACAGCTCCATAGGCCCTAGGGACATCACTGGAGTACAAGCAAATAATAAAATGTCAAAGCTGCAAGTGACCTTAGTGACCATCTGGTCATCATGACAGAAAGGCAGTGCGGTATCAAAGAAAGACTTGTTCCGGGATGAGAACTCACTATTTGACAAAAAAATGCTGGGAAACCTGGAAAACAATATGGCAGAAACTAGGTATAGACCAACTTCTTACACGGTATGCCAAGATAAGGATAAAATGGGTACATGATTTAGATACAGAGAGTGGTATCATAAGCAAACTAGAGAGCAAGGAATAATTTACCTGTCAGATCTATGGAGAAGGGAAGAATTTATGACCAAACAATAGATAGAGAACATTACAAGATGTAAAAGGGATAATTTTGCTTATATTAAATTTTAAAGCTTTTACAAAAACAAAGCCATTTCAACTAAAATTAGAAGGACAGCAAAAAGCTGGGAAACAATTTTTATAGCCAGCATCTCTGATAAAGGCCTCATTCTCAAATGTTTTGGGAACTGAGTCAAATTTATAAGAGTACAACTCATTCTCCAATTGATAATGGACAAAGAATATGAACAGGCAGTTTCAGATAAAGAAATCAAAGCTATCTATAGTCACATAAAAATGCTCTAAATCACTACTGATTGGAGAAATGCAAATTAAAGCGACTCTGAGGTACCTCCTCACATGTATCAGACTGGCTAATATGACAGAAAAGGAAAATGATAAATGTTGGAGAGGATATAGGAAAACTGGAACACTAACACACTGTTGGTGGACTTATGAACTGATCCAACCATTCTGGAAAGCAATTTGGAACTAGTCCCGAAGTCAATCAAACTGTGCATACTGTTTGATCCAGCAATGCCATTACTAGGCCTGTATCCCAAAGAGATCATGAAAAAGGGGCAAGGACCCACCAAGACAAAAATATAGCAGCTCTTTCTGTGGTGGCAAAGAATGATAAACTGAGGGGATGCTCATCAACTGAGGAATGGCTGAACAAGTTGTGGTATATGAATGGAATGGAATACTGTTGTGCTCTGAGAAATGAGGAGCAGGTGACTTCAGAAAAACCTGGAAAGACTTACATGAGCTGAACCAGGAGAACACTGCACACAGTAACAGCAACATTGACTTAGCTCTTCTCAGCAATACTATGATCCAAGACAATCCCAAAAGGCTCATGAAGAAAAATTATATTCACATCCAGAGGAAGAACTGAATGCAGATCGAAGCATACTATTTTCACTTAATTTTTTTCATGTTTTTTTCCCCTCTTGTTCTGTTCCTTCTTTTACAACATGATGAATATGGAAATATGTCTTACATGATTGTACATATGTGACCTATATCAAATTACTTACTGTCTTAGGGAGATGGGAGAGAGAACATTTGGAATTTAAAATTTTATTAAAAAATGACTTAAAATTGTCTTTACAAGTAATTGGAAAAAAATAAAATACTATTTAAAAAAGAAAAAAGGTTTTTTTTCCACTGTAAAAAGAGCTACAGATTTATTTTAATCATGTAAGAGAGATGCTACACAGAAAATTAGTGTACCCATTGTGCTCCACTCACAGAATTTTTCTTTCATTTGCATTCCCAGTACCTGTGATTCTCTGAAGGATTTGTGGTATAAATTTTATATGGTTCCAAACACAATGTTTTGTCTAATCCACATCTTGAGTAATGATATGAATCTTTGAAATGACTGAGTCATATTGAATTATCGCCTAGGATTGACCAACTTAATTACTGACTTAGTGAGAATTAGTCTCATTTAGAATCAGAATCACAAATATCAGAGCTAGCAGGGACCTCAAAGAATATCTCATCCAATACATATCTGAGTAGTAATCCCTTCTATAATAACCCCAACCAATGGTCATCTAGCTTTTGCTCAAAGACTTTTAGAATGGGGAAATCATCTATCTTTCACGGTAATCTCTTCCATTTTTAGAAAACATTATTTGCATTTTATTTTTACATCAAGTCTAAATCTGCCACTCTGAAACTCTTTGACCTACTTCTTCCAATCTGTATTTCTGAAGTTGATAATTTTTTTTCACAGTGAACAAATTGGTCAAAGATTGTTAAAAGCCCAAGGCTGACACTGATCAGAAGTACATTTACGTGAACTCTGTACCAAAGTAATTTTTCTAAACAACATTTTAAACAATGACACTCCCTCTTACTTCTGTTTCAATAAACTACATTGGTTCCCTGTTCCATCCAAAAGCAAACAGAAAATTCTGTTTGCCATTTATAGTGCTTCCCAACACACCACTTCCAACTTTTCTGGTTTTCTTATACTTCATGCATTCTGGCTACACAGATTCTAGCTAAACAGCTACATCCCTTCATTCTAGCTACACAGTACTACTTGCTGTTCCTTAAACATACCACTCCATCTACTGACTCCATGCATTTACACTGTCCTTTCTCCAAGCCTGAAATGCTTTCTTTCCTCACTCCCCAACATTTAGCTCTCTCTCTTCCTTTAATATACAACTTAAATCTCATGTACTGAAAGAGACCTGGTCCCATCCCTCTACACTCTGGTCCCTTCCTTCTGAAATTGCCTTCCATTTAAACTGTATGTGTATGGGTGTATGTATACACCCATTTATATATATGTCTATACACATATGTATATAGGTATGTAGATACACACACACACACACACACACACACACACAGAGTTATTTGCCTATTATCTTCTGCATTAGAATACAAACTCCTTTAGGGCAGGGGCCATGATTAACATCAATATCTATGTGTATGTGATGAGCGTTGAGGATTCAAATACACAAATCTCTCTCTCTGTCTCTTAAAAAAAAAAGAAAAAAGTAAATTAAAAAAGAGTAAAGAGGGGAGAAAAATAAAATACTATTTAAAAAAGAAAAAAAAAGACTTGTTATTGGAGGACCTGAGTTCAAATCCAAGTTCAGCTCACTTACTCCCTATAAGACCTCAGATAAGTCACTTAACCTTCCTGTGCCTCAGTTTCCTCACCTGTAAAATAAGGTTACTTGACCTCTCATGTCCCTTTTTGCTCCAAATCTATGGTCCTATAATCTGATCCAATCTAAATTCCTCATTTTATAAATGAAGAAGCTGAAGTCTCATCCCTCAACTTCTTTCCTCCTCCCAATCAAACCTCCTCATATATACTACTCCCAACTCAAACATTAAGATTACAAAGAAATGACTTACCCATGGTCATTAGACACTGGCAGGGTTGGAGTTAGAATGCTGATTTCTTGACCTTGAGTTTTCAAGAAAAAATTATATTCACTACACTGCTAAATAAAATAGGGAATTACACTTGATAAGTATTTCCATCAAAAAAATTTTTAATTTAAAAGAAAACAATTTTGGTATTGAGGTGGCAGTTATCTGGAAAATAACACTCCCTTATAGAGAGCATTCCCTATAATTCCCTGACAATTCTAGAAAGAGTCAACACTACTGTAATTATGAGCTGTTAGACAGTCAGTCTCATAGTGCATTGCAACCTGGGATTTCCCAACTACTCTTCTTGATTTTGCTTCAGGGAATACCATGTTCTCATGGTTCTTGTGCTACACAGCACCCTGGTCTCTTCAATACTGACCCAAAAGCTATCTGTGACTGGAACTTAGAGTTCTGAGTGGCTTCCTTTGCCTCTTTCCCAAACAAGCCTTTTTCACCAAAAGAATGAAAATTATTGCTACAAATCAGTAGGACATCACTCCCTCCTTCCAGCGACAATAGGGTGTAGGAATGACTCCAGAAAAGTCCTCATCCTCTCCATGAATTCATGTGCACATACAGACACTTCATCTTCCTATCCCTTTGCCCCTTCTTTATTCCCTGAATTCAAGGACAGTTTCTACAGCAATAAAAGAATGTTTTCCACCTGCTGTTACCTTGATTTGATTATATGTTAAAGCTAAACCAGTGTATTCAAGGCTGCTCCCCAGCAAAAGCAGGGCCAGTCCTTGGAAGGGAGACTTTCAATGAACCTCAGAGTCTGAGAAGAAAGATGCAAATGATTTAGAGCCAAGGGTGGGTGGGTGAGGGGGAGGTGGGGTGTCCAGATCTTTCTCTAGAGTTGGCATGACCCAATCTAAAGGACTAAACTGACTGCTGATGGCTCCACCATTCAGGTAGGACAGAAAGTGACAGTCCCCAAAGTCTTTTCCCCCAAAGTTCCAAAGCCTGGCCCATTTCCAATGTGGATAATTACATTCCATGTTCTGAAATACTCCCTGCAGTGTAAACTGGAGGCAGGATTCTTCTTTTCTTCCCTAAAACTCTGCTGTGCTGCTGTATGACTATTAAACAGCTGCTACATCCTGTCCCTGAGGAGGCTGAAGTGAAGCGCATGGGTCATTTATAAAGCTGGAGAGATGCTTGGGGTTGAAGATGCTCAAAATTCTCTGCAGACAGCCTGGGCTGGTTAGGTTGGTGGTCAGATACCAAGGCAGAGTAAGCCAGTAAATTAATGTAATCAAGCACAGAGGTCTGTCCTGCAGTCAGGTCCTCTTTGTGGATTTCTGATCTTTGTGACATGGATATTCACTTTTCCCTCAGTGAATAAAGACCACTTATATTTCTGGGGAGTGGGAGGTGGGAAGGATAGGAGTGAAAAGGGTAAAGAGGGTAGAAATCAATATAAAGGTTCTTAACACAGACAAACTTTCTCTCAGGCAAATGTCATCAATTACTTTCTTGTATTTCTGCCAGAAAACTATCCTGGCTTGTTATCAAATCTGCATAAGAAGCTGAGGAGAAGAGGGAAGGTCTCATTTACCGTCATAGCACCTACTTTCCATATCAAATTTCATTGGTTGGGTGAACCAGTGTCACCCTCCTTCATGAGTTTATTGGGATTTTCAAGCTGAAAGGCAACAAACAGTACCCTGGGAGGGAAGGGAGGTGGTCTGACCCTGAGTGACTCAGAGGCAGTCTCAGCTGCCCTGAGAGGGGCACAGTGCAGCTACAAAACAGGACTTTTGGGGCTGGAAGGAATGGGAGGAAATGTGAAGTATGACGAAAGGGGGTCTGAAAGTCAAGAACACTGGACTAGAATCCATTTGATTTCCCAGTGACTTTCTGGATAAGCTTTACTCTACTGGCTCTGGTTTTCCTTTTCTGCTTTGAGAAGTATGAGTCTGGGTACCCTTTCCTTTCCCTACCTTCCAATATGAGTAATGATACATGATAGGCCTAAAACACCATGGCTTAGTTGACCTCAAATTGGGCCGTATTTTCATCTCACATCCACGTAAAGCAGGGACCTGGGATCTGTCTATTTGCTGCAGTTACAGTTTCTTGATCTGCTCCACATGGAGGAGACAGAAGGCAAGAGCTGGAGCTGGGAGAGTGGTATGGAGACTGGCCTGGCCGTGGGCAGGTCACGTGACCTTTCGCTTTCATATATTCTCTCCAGTTAGGCATTCCAAGGCTATCACCCCTAGGGAGTGCTATAAATTACAATGCATTGCGAGGATATTACTACTGTGTTGGTTTCCACTGAACTGGTGTCACATGCTAAACACATCAAGATTTTTAATAGCAGCAGACTAAACCAATTGGGACCACAGCCCAAGCTGTTCATAATAAGGAGGCAGCCACACTTTGTGCTTGGTCTGAACATGCGCAGAATGCATACTTTAAGACAGGAATAGAACACAAGTCAGTTCAATCCACCGTGTTGACTCAGGACATTTATGAGCTGTCAGAAAAGGGAAATGAAATTCCCCATCCAATACTGGCTGTCGATCAGACCCAGGAAGAAAATAACCCATCCCGTGATTCCATCACTGGTCTTAGCATTTTCAGATGGAACTTAATAAAGGCGCTGATATCAGAAACAAACTGCCAACTCCCAATGCCGACAGGCTCAGTCTCTAGGTCAAACATTGACAGCACTGGAACTCCAGGATTCAAGATACTAGTTAATATGGATATGCATGCCCAGAAGAGAAAGTGGCTAAATCAAATAATCCCTAGAAATCAGATCATTAAACTGAATTCATGAGCCTGTTCTTGGAGAGGAGGAAGTAGAGGAATTAAGCTTAACTGGTGGAAGTGGGAAGGCTACATAGTCATTGCTCTTCCCTGGAAATAAAGCCACCACAGGAGAGTCAGACCAAATGGAGCCTTCCCTGAGTCAGCCTTTGATACAATAGCCATACCTAAGCTAGTTATCTTAATGGGACTCTGAGATTTGGTTTTCAGATCAGGAAAATGAGAAGCCCTGGCTTCCCCTTTCCAAAAACTCCCTTTGGTTTTCTAAAAGACAGAGCCTGTACCCTGCTCTCACCCTAGGCACCATTTTGCTTAAGAATAGCTTACTCCAGAGTAAGCTGGCAAGCTTGCTCCAACAGTTTCAATCTCTTCTAGGAGAACCTGATGCTGAGATCCAATTCAGAACCAAGGGAGAAGCTGATTCTATGGTTTCCACAAGTCCTATCTGCTCGCTCTGCCTAGGTGAGATCCTTTCACTTACCTAGTAGTTCGCTGGTTTTTACATCATACTCTTCAGCCATCTCCTTTCCATCAGGGAAGAGGTAATGTACTTTCCTCCTTCCTAAAGAAAAAGCATACAAAGAACTGTGTGTAAAAGCCTCCCCAAGCCTCCCCTGCTCTGTCACTCCCACCAGACGGGCTGTTAAAGGCACCTACAAATGCCTCTCCCTGGGGCTACCCTGCTACTACCTCCCTACCAATTCATACTTATTGTTCCTTCAGAGACTTGCTTTAAGACTCATTCACCTTCAAGAAGACTTTCCTAACTGGGTATGATCCCCTTAGTTGCCAGTGCCTTCCCTGGAAATTATTTTATATTTACAATCATAGATCCAGAACTAGGAGGGACTTTAGAGGCCATACATTCCAACACCCTACCCCCTGCCTTTTTTTTTTTTTTACAGAGGGAGAAACTGGGACTCAGGGAGGTGAAGGGACTTGCCAAGGTCAGATAGGAAGTGAGCCAGCTCCCCTGGCTCCACACTGTCAAAGGCAGCATGGTCTGGTAAATAGAGAGCTGACCCTGAAACCAGACAGACCTAGCTTCAAGTCCCAGACTATGGCATCCTGTGATCCTGGAAAAGTCCTTAACCTCCCATGTTCTGGGCAACACTCTGACCGTAAAATCACAGATCCAGCTTGGGTGACAATCCCCTATCCTAATTCCTGCCTTATTCTACCTCTCTCTTGCATTTGTCTAGAGTTTCTAGTTAGTACTGTTATAAATCTACTATAGGGTAGTTTTGTGATTTCCCCCCCCTTTTTTTTCTAGTTTGCATATATGTTTGGTCTTTCTAGCTAGATTGTAAGTTCCATGAAGACAGGCTGCATCTTCTCTTTAGCATTCTCTTTCCCCCAGGAGCCCATAACAAGCATCAAATGATTGCTTGCTGAGTAAACATCTCAAGCCTCCCTGACTACTATCACTCAAATACTGCCTTGCTTCTCTCTATTTGCCATACAGCATGATAGGAAATAGAGCAGGAAGGAACCATAGAAATCACCCAGCCCAACCATTTCAGTTTTACAGATTCAATTAAATTCCACAATTATCCTTTAAACCTCTGTAACATGCTAGGCACTGTAAAAGTTGCAGCGGGGGTAGCGCAGTGCATAGAGCTCCAGCCTTGGGGTCAGGAGGACCTGAGTTCAAATGTGACCTCAGACACATAACACTTGCTATGTGACCCTGGGCAAGTCACTGAACCCCGTTGCCTAGCCAAAAAAAAAAAAGAGTAGAAGGTGCAGTGGATACAAAATCAAAAAACCAAGAGTCTTTGCCCTCAATTCTACTGGGGGAACTGTGCTCAAATAAGTATAATACAAGACCATTTGGAGGAGACAAAACACTAACAACTCAGAGGTTCAGGAAAGGCTTCACAAAGGAAGTGGCACAAGAGTTAAGCCTTCAAAGGATATAAGGATTTTGACACTCAAACAATAAACACTAAAAATGCAAAGGAAAACCAGAAACAGTCCCCAGGAAAGGAGTTTACATTCTAAAGGGGGAGACAATATAATACATAAATCAGTACACAGAAGACAAATACAAAGTAGATGGAAGGCAATCTTAGAGGAAAATGCATTAGCAGCTGGGAGAACAGAGAAAAGCCTCCTGTGAAAAGAGCATTTAAGCTGAGTCTTAAAGGAAGCATGGGATTCCAGATATGAGCAACACCTTGTTCAGAAGCTGGAGCATTCACTGTGTGTAAAGAACAGCGAGTGGGCTAGTATGGCTGGCTGGCCTTTAAGGAGAAGAGTAAGTTTAAAAACTAGGAAGACAGGAAGGGGTGAAGTTATGAAGTGCTTTAAAGGCCAAGCAGAGGAGTTTCTACTTGATCCTAGCGGTAGTAGGATCTATTGTGGGGAGGAATCTATTGTGGGGAGGAGTGGGACATAGTCAGACCTGGGCAGCTATGGGGAGGATGGACTGGAGCTGGTAGGGAGAGGGAAACCAGAGGTAAAAAGTCCAATTAGAAAGCTATTGTGACAATTTGTGAAGAAATGGGGACAGATGTAAGAGACATAGAAAAAAGTGACAAGACTTAATAACTGATTGGATGAGAGAAGAAATGGAGGTACCAAGTGTAGATTTTTCAAGGAATTTAGCTGAGAAAGAGAGGAGAGATAGTGGACAGATGTGACAAAGTGCGCATTACAAATGGATGGTATGATTGGTGTGAATGCACTGAGTGGGAGAGATGGAGTGTCAAGTTCAGGAAAACAGCTTTCAGTACAATTTGGCCAGAATTGTGCGTGTGTGTGTGTGTGTGTGTGTTGTGTGTGTGTGTGTGTGTGAAGGAGACTCAAACGAAACAAAGCTAGAAAGGCAGTTTGGAATTAAAATTATGAAGGGCCTTGAACTAAGCTAAGAAATTTTATCTGGGTTTTCCCTGGTAAGAGAAAGGCCGAAATTCTGGGCTGACTACAGCTAAAAAACAACTCCTCAAAGAACCAAAAGCCTTTTTTTTTTTTTGGCCACCAGTCTGAGCATCCTCTGAACACGACAACAACCAGACTGGGTGTAGTGGACATTCCTACAGTCTCTCCTCTCCCCTGTCCGTTGGGGAGCCCAGAGGAAGTAAAAAGGGTAACAGGAGGGGGAGAAAAAGCAAGGATGGGCTTCCCCCAGATCTCTCCTTGGTCCGCAATTCACTTTCACAGACCAGAGTATATACGTGGGTATTTGGAGCAAAGACTTGGGTGTAGGACTGGTGGGCCATCTAGTCCACTCCCCTTATGTCACAGATAAGAAACGGACACCCAGAGGGGTTGGGTAGCTCTGTGGTCACCCGAAGAGTAAATGGCAGAAGCGGGTAGGACTTGAACCCCGGTCTTCTGGACCTCGAATCCCTGCCCGTCCCCTAAGCGACCGTAAGCTCCTCCAGAGCAGGGCAGGAGTGACCCGCGGGCAGAGAACAGCGCCCGCAACGGCCTTCGTGACGGGAGCCCTCGCCACCCCCAGGTTCCCGGCCCTTCCCCCATCGCACCCCGCCGGCCTGGCCCTCTCCTCGGCGGGGAAACGGAGGCCGGGGGAGGAGCCGGGGGGCAGACCCCCCTCCCGGGTGGGGTTCAGGGCCAGCTCGCGTCCTGGCCCCGGACCCTGTGGGGAGGGCGGTGGGGAGGGCGAGGAATCTGCAAGGCTTGCCCCCGTGTTACCGTCCTGCAACAGGGCCGTCTTCTCCGCCGCCCGCAATCTCTCCAGCCAGCCCGGCACCGCCATCTTCCCTTCCGAGGGCTGCGCGACCCGGCGATGCCATGGCAACCGCCGCCCAGGACCGCTTCCGGGTGACCCGGAAGACGTCCTGCCAAATGGGGTGCCGCCTCCCTGCCTGGCCTCGTGGAATCTGTAGGGTGAGGGTGGGGGTGGGGCGCCTAGAGAGGCCGGACCTCGGAGAACGCCCGGCTTCCTGGGGGAGTGGGGTGGGGAGGGGGTGGGCAGGTCTGCAGAGACTCCCGCCTCTGGGTGGGGTTTGTGCGTCCTCGGGGGTCAGTGCCCCCACATGGTTCCTGGGTCCCGGCCCCATGCGGGCTGCTGCCAGGGGCCGACGCCCCAGTTCCCTCCCGGAGCGGCCCTCTGCCCAGGCACCGCCCCCCCCCGGAAGGAAGGATGTATTAATTGCCTACTATGTGCCAGGCACTGTGCCAAACGCCTGGTACATGTTATGTCATCTGGCCCTCACAACAACCCTGGGAGGTAGGTGCGATCCTAATAAGGATAATCATATATTCCCAATTCACAGATGAGGAAACTGAGGCAGGCAGAGGTAAGGTGCCTTGCCCGGGGCCACATAGCTAGGAAGTGCCTGAGGCTGGATTTGAACTCAGGGCTTCCTGACGGCAAGAAGACCCAGCGCTTTGTCCATGGCACCACGTGCCACCTGGGGTAGTGAGGCCTGCTGGGGGTGGGGGTCATGAAAATAAATATGCCAGATCTCCCAGCAGATCAACCCACCACCCCAGGCCCCAGGAGAACATTCAGATGGAAAGACCCTCATGGGTCCTGACTTCTGGGAGCCCCCAGTTTAATGAGTGGACAGTGATCTCAGAGAAGCAAGACAGCCCCCTCACCTCAGGGAGACCCCAGATTGAGGGAGGACTGAAACTTCTTCCCTAATCCAGGAAGGTCATGCAATCGCAGTCCAATCTGGATAGTTTTCTCTGCCCCTCCTTCCTCCCATTTTAATAACACTGTCTCTGTCTCTGTGTCTCTGTCTCTCTGTCTGTCACTTGAACTCTCTTTCTCTCTCTTTGTACGCTCCTACACTCGGTAAGGATGCTCCTGATCCTTCATCTCCAGGATTTCTCAGGCCCGGGGAGCTGTTCCTTCCGCAGCATCAGAATAGAGATCAGCATCACAGAGCTAACCAAACTCTTCCTCCCAAATACCTGCAGTTTTTCCCAGCACAAAGCTGAAAGTGTTTTCTTGCCACTCAGGTTGTCCTGGGCCACTTTGTCTGAATTTCTTGTTTCTCCTATCACATGATATCTGCCTGGTATTACATGTATCTTGTATTACTGTTGTATGATCATGAATTCAAAGCTGGAAAGGGCTTCAGAGGTCCAACTCCTTCATTGGAATAGTATGGAAACTAAGGCCCAAAGATGACCCACGCAAGGTCAAAATGGTGCTAAGTACAGAACTGAAATTTGAACCTACGTTCTCCTATTCCAAACCAAAAAAAAACAGGTCTTTTTCTTTTTTTAATCTTTATATTCTACCTTGTGAATTCTGGTCCCTGCTCTAAACTTCGCCATCTTAGTGCTATACAGGGACTGTTAGATCCTTGCTCTCTGCATTCATTTTCCTAACTGAATCACCTCTCTTCATATCCTTGCTTTGTAAAGACATTGAGAATTAGGAGTCAGTTAAGGGTCCTATGTTTGGTATAAGTTCCCTAGGGGATAGGTCACATTCTTCTCTCCAGAAGAACAACCCAGTGGTCCCAACCTACTTTTGAGATGAGAGAACAAATCTGCATCAGTCAGCTAGGGCTAAAGCCTGGTTCAGAGGTGGGGAACTTGTGGCCTTGAGGCTACATATGGCCCTCTAGGTCCTCAAGTGTGGTACTTTGACTGAATCCAAACTTCATAGAACAAATCCTCTTAATGAAAAGATTTGTTCTGTAAAACTTGGACTCAGTCAAAAGGCCACATTTGAGGACCTAGAGGGCCACATGTAGCCTTGAGGCCTCCGGTTCCCCAACCCTGTCCTAGTTATTCTAATTCCTGGGTAGGTCCTGGTACAGCTCCCTTAAGCCTGACTTCTCTGGGGCAGAAGAGAAGAGATCCTTGGCCTCCTTCACTCTTCTGTCTTAATTTATCCTTAGAGAGAAGGAGCCAAGCTCAGCCCTAGCCATGGAGCCTCGAGGGATCTTGAAGGCCTTTCCCAAACGGAAGAAAATGAGAACTGACTCAGACAGGAGCGGACTCTTGCAGATTTCCAAGAAGGAAGAAATAGGAGAAGGTGGGGGTAAGCTCTCTTCCCCCTCTCTCTCTCCCAACCTCTCCACCCCTACACTGAATGTATCTAGAATTAGCCTTCCAAAGAAGCCCAGCTTTCCAACTTGTCCACTAGAGTATGTTAACATCTTGTACCCCACTGCCCCCCAAACATCCTGGATTCATTTAGTCTGTCTTGCCCAAGCTGATGTAAATGGGACCCATCAGAGACCTAGAAAGGATTTGAGGAACAGAGCTCTGAACTGATTCCCTCGGAAAGAGAGACTCCTAAGGGAAGACAAGGTCAATGGCCCTTTCTGATAAAGTATAGAAGGGTCCAGGGACAGGATTACATTGGCAATTTGGAAAATGGATGAGAAGGCCTTCTGGAGGAGGCTGCCCTGAGCTGCAGTTTCAGGGAGAGGAAGGATGGAAGGAGGAAAAAGAAGAGGGGATTTTCCCATATAACAACCAACGCTGTTACATAGGTAGGGGAATAATATCCTCCCCGTTTTATAGGTGAGGAAAAACAAGATCAGAAAGGTAAGTGACTTCTTACACAGCTAGTTTGTATGAAGCAAATCTTACTTTATTCCGGAATGTGTCCAACACTTTTTGCGCTGTACCTTGCTCACTCTCTGATCCATGCTTTGAGTTGGAGATAGAGAAGAGAGAGGGCAGATGATGATGAGAACTGGGATGGTTCTTATGCAGAGTGGCTGAGCCCCCTGCAAGTCCATGTGTTACACGCGGGCATTGGTCGAGCCCGGGCAGAGATCTTTGAGAGGCAAATCCTTCAGCATGGGGGCCGAATCTGCTCCCCTCAGGCCCCAGGGATCACTCACATCGTGGTGGATGAAGCTGTAGACTATGAGCGAGCCCTCCGCCTCCTGAAAGTATCCCAGCTGCCCCTTGGGGTCCAAATGGTGAAGTCAGCTTGGCTGAGTCAGTGCTTGCAAGAGCAGAAACTGGTGGGCACTGCTGGATTCAACATCTTCATCCCTGACAGGTGAGCCTACCCTCAGTGCTTTGTCTTTTCATTTGTTGTAGCAAATGCCCCACTGATGGACCTCAGATGAACCACCCAAGGTGCCAGTCACCCAAGGTTTTTTGCTAATTCTTAGAGAAGTCAGATTTCATTATCCCCGCTAGACAAATGGTCAGACAAAGGCCCAGGGCAGGAAAGGTCTCAAGGCATCCTGGGAATAAGAGCTGTGGTGGCTCAGTGCACCACTGTCACTCTCCCTGCAGGTACCTGGACAAGGCAGCCATTCGGGTTGCATCTTCCCAGACAGGGCCCTCTGGAACTTCAGCCCAGGCAGGGCTTCCTGCTGCTGCTCGCTCTGTCCCACCTCAGGAGCCACACTCAAGACTGAGCACCCAGCCACAGGTCAGGTGCACATCCAAATCCCAGTGTTTCCTCCGCGGGCTGTAGGAAACTGGGAGACCTTCAGGAAACTAGTCAGTGGCCATGTGTTAAGGCCTAAAGATAGTCTGGAAAGTTCCATCCAAATGGGGCAGCAGGGCTTGCTGTTTTGTGAGGCCCTTCCCCTGCATCCAGTCAGCAGTCATGTCCTGGGGCAGAGGCCCCGGGCCGGGTGCTGTGGGAGGAAGGAAGAGACATAGCCCCTTCCTTAGGGAGCTCCCTCTCAGATGGAGGGAAGCATGGTCCTTCCCTTCTTGGAGTCCCCAGGATGGTGGAAGAACCCTAATATCAGAGAGAATAGACAATTCCCAAGTGCAGGAAGATCCCAAACTAAGGGAGCAGTGATAGCCTCTGCCCTTGGAGCCACTAGTTAGAAGGAAAGGAAGGAGAGGGAGGGCCTGCATTAATTATGTGTACTCTCTATTTCAAGCCTAACTCTTATGAAGAATACAGTGATGAGGAGGAAGTACAGGTTACTCCAGCTGACCTGGAGGCCCTGATCACCGGCCGATACCCAAGCACCTCTGAGGGAGATGCTGAGCCCACCCTGGCCCCCACCATCAGTGATAAGTGGGTGTGTGCTCAGCCTTCGAGCCAGAAAATGACCAACCACAATCCTCACATTACAGAGAAGCTGGAAGTGCTGGGCAAAGCCTATGCTGTCCAAGGTGACAGGTGGCGGTCACTGAGCTACTCTAAGGCTATCAGTGCCCTCAAGAGCTTTCACAAGCCTGTCACCTCCTACCAGGTAGGAGTCCTGAAGGATGAGAGCCCTCCTTCTGAGGGAAGAGAAGCAACCCTATTCTGATTGGGGCTCCGGAAGGGGGGGGGGTGCAGAAGTCTTTGACTAGCAAGGAGACAGCCACTCAACAAATATTGGGCACCTGCAGGGCTTACCAGGGATACTAACACAAAGTGTAAAACAACTCCTACCTGTATGAAGCTTATATTCTAAGGAGGAAGACAAAAAAATGCATATAAAAATACAGCAAAACCACAGAGTTAGTAAGTAAAAACATGTGCCATGTAGTTAAGTACAAGGTAGTTTGGGAGGGAGGGCCCTAGGACTGGGGGGGATCAGGAAGGGCTTCACAAAAAAGCTGGTGCTTGGGCTGCATTTGAAAGGCAGAGAGCGACTCTCTCAACTGAGAAAGGAGGGCATTCCAGACATAGGGGATGGATGGGGGCATGGCTGGAGCAAGAGCACAGAGAAGGGGGGTGGGCTGTCAGGTGTGAGGAGCAGGGCAAAGGCCAGGTTGGCTTGATTGGCAAAGTGGGGAGGGAAAGCAATGTTGGTGGGACTGGAAAGAGGGGCCGGGGGTGTGGAGGGCTTTCAGAGTTTAACAGAGGGGCTTATATTTGATGGAGACAACCAGAAGCCACTGGAATTGGGTGAGTGGGAAGTCATGC